ATGTATGGCACAAAATTGGCAAAGCGTTGTTGATTATTGATTGATGAACACTTCTGACATAATTGTGGTATTGTTTCATCTGCTAGCAATGCTACCCCGAAGGTTATAAGATCTCTATAGTTGTAATTCCTCGTTAACTACTTTTTGTACTGAAGAATATACAACACACACTGAGGTGGTAGACTAGTTGGCTTGCTATTCGAAAAATATTTATCTCAAGTAATTGGCGTGCAAGTTGAAAAAGATTAACCTCCGCCAGAATAACGTTGGACACTTTGAAGTGATAGTAAAGCATTCAAGGGCATCGGTTAAATGAGTTCTTGCTATACACAACATTGAAATCTTTATTATTGTCAAACGCGGGCACCAATACATGCTCTTATTGCAACCCCCCCCCCCCCCCCCCCCCGCGCTTGGAGCAATTAGATTCATATCTTGATTCGTGACTAGTGATATCACTATCTTCGTGGTCTCAGCTGGAAGCACGGGGAAACAAGCGCCTTTTCAAATGTTCGAGATACTGCCTCCAAGCTTCCTAGCAGTCGCAGCACCGGGGTTAGCATGTCGCTTCGTGCTACCACACTGACAATGCGTTTCGTTGCAGCATCCCACACGAAGCATGTTGAACCGCGCATAACCATCCGTTGATCCTGAAGTTTGCTTGCCAACGATGCACCATCTTCTTCGCTCTTGGAGTTGAATAATTGCGGGAACACATGCAACAGCGTTTGCTCTGTGAGTGTCACACTTGTTGTCGTGGTCACCGTTATCGAGTTTCCGCCACTCTTGCTCACATTGGTAAGCTTCACAACCACGTCGTCAAACAATTGCATAACGTACCAACTCTGCGCTATGGCCTCAAAACCAAACTCGGAGTTGTACACGACGTCCGGTGCCATCGCTTCTCGCAAGGAGGCCACTTGGTCACTGGACTGAAACTCATGACAGATCAAGCGAAAATACTGTGCCACTGACTTCAAGACAGCATTCTTTGCCGATGTGACTGTGGATAAACACTGACGGTGTTGCCCTAATATCTGAATCTCTTGTCGTAGTTCTTGAATGGCTTTCTCGACACTGGCGGCATACCGTTTCTGTTTAGTTCTGTATCGTAGCTGTACGATTTGGCGTCGCTCACGCTTGACGCGCTCACTAATCTCCAGCAATTCTGCAATCGCTTTCTGTTTCTCTTCGTGAGAAGCAGTTTTCAAACGCTTGAAGCGGGTGATCCCTGTGGTGTCAATCTTTCTTTTGTTGTTCAGAGAGATTTTACTAACAGGAATTGGAACTTGAGACCCAGATCCCTCTTCGTTGTTTTCAAAGTCTCTGGACGCTTTTCTCTCCTCAGGCTTGAATCCGGCTGGGTGATATGATATCCTGTTCGATCGCCTGGTGCACTGCACTACACCAGTAACAACTGCATCTCTTAGGAGGTGGCTGTTGGGTGGGCTGAGAACACTGGCGTACATGTCTTTTGCTCTGTAAATGATAAGTGCGCGTTGGGAAAAGTAGGATAGCGAAAAGAATCCCTATTCTCCTTTTCTTGTATGACGTACTACAACCTATCGTCTTTTTAGTATAAACGTATTTATTTCACCCAACAGACAAGTTTCAACAATGAACAATCGAAGCAAATGCATGCATACGCTAGACTAAAGAGATGTCATTGGCTTGTACTACTATAAATAATTATTATTGACAGAAGGAGAAGACTTTCCACTCTGCTTGCATTGCGCTATCACATCCGGGGCTGTCGTGAACGATTTTATACT